GGATTTGCATCACTGAAAATTAGATTAGCACTACTGTATAGAAAATGTTTAATGTGGACTATTGTGTCCAAGGCTGACTGCAAGGAGAGGATATTCCTGATCATTACCTTTTTAATCAGCAATGGGTCTTGATTCTTTAAGCAGTTTTTTTAAATTAAAAGAAAACATTTGTAAGATACTTTTGTAGATATTTATTGTCTGATTTAAAAGTGCAATATTTTGTTTTGTACAGTGTTTAATAAAGATTTTTGGACATATATTTTTTCTTATTACCGAAATTTCTTATTCATGTTTTTCCTTTGTATTTAAAGTTTTCAAATGTTAACACATAGCATTTTTTGTTGCTTTGTCTTTGGTTAAGTATGCATGCTATACAGAAGCAGTGCTGTAAATGTTTGTTATTGCAATTGGCATGACATTCCTCTGTAGATTATTTTATTGCTTCTCCAGTAACTGAAGATGTCTAATATTTAGCTTTCTCAAACGTAGTTTTGATATTTCTGAAATAAACTCTAGTTTGATTATTCAACACTGATTACCCAGAGATTGTTTATTACTGTGATTTTCATGGTAGCTATGCTTTCAGTCCAAGTGTTATTTTATGAACCTACTGTGTCCACAATTCTGGGATTTTTTCAAAGCTAAGATTAGTTCTTATTTTTGACAGCTTATCAGACAGATTCTCAGCTTCGTTACAGTCTGCTTTGCACTGCTATTAAGAGGCAACATAGATGTAACCTCACTGAAAAAGTGAGGAAGAGAATTTGCCAAAATCCAAATAAGCCAGCTCTGACTCACTGAAATCTAGAATCAGGCTTCTGTAAAAAGGTGGAATCTTTATTCCATTAATCTTTATTATTTACATTTCTTTGCCAGGCCTTCATGTACTGCACCAAGCAGAGTTCATTTAGATCCAACAGAACAGCTCTATGTTTTATATTTAGTGGGTGATGGGAACAGCTACGTGAAAAAAACTTGTTTCAGAATATCCATTATGTGTAACAGTCTTTAGAAAGAAGAGTCCCATAAATAATCTGAACAAGAAAAGCCTTAAAAAAATGTATTAAATTGAAAATACATGTCTAGCAATGAAATGGTGGTGTTTCAGAGTCATCCTAGATGGTAACATTGGCAAAGGTGCATGGGTCTATTTAATTTTCCTTTTGTGTCACCGACGCATTCTTTCTGTGCAGTCTTTAAAAAAAAAGGAAAGATTCTGTATAGCATAGTGCATGAAAAGCGCTTTTAGAATAGCAGTTGAATCCTTGAGTAACTTTTCCGCTTGTACATCTTGGTTTAGCATGACATCATAAAATGCTTTTTTAACAGCTGTTATTTTGAGAAATATTAGTTTTCCAGCCTGCTGTTCATTTTGTCTGCATTTCAACAATATGTTCCTTATGAAAAAGTTGACCTCAAGTATTGAATACTGTCTGAAGGTTTATGGTATCATTTGATGCTTTTCCTGGGAGCACAATCAGTAGCGTGTGGCTCTTTCAACTGTAATGTAATAAAGGCTTCTCTCTTTCACTATGAAACTTAGGGGAAAACATTAAGGGCAAAATGAAAGGCAATATGCTCCCTCGACCCTAAAAAAGTCTTCAAACACATCTGCAGAGGAACTGTTAAAGGTATCTGAATATGCCCTCCGCTTTCTCTCAAAAATTTTTGTACCGTGCTGGTAGGTGGCAGCAAATGACTTTCCATAACTTAATGCAGGCGGGGAAAAAGTGACTTAAGAACTAAAAAAACAGCTGTGAAAATTACAAAAAGCATCTGGGCCCACTCACAGACCCAAAGGAGGAGCCATTTTCAGCAGAACACGCAGGCGCACATAACTTCATGGATTCAGATTGCCTTTCTCAATGAGTTTTCTTCCTCCCTAGAAAAGAGAGCTGGAGGAAATTAGGGGCTTCTGTAAACTTCTCGTGAGGTACCAAGATTGTGTACAGGATATGGACTTGGGTAGGTGTGACTGTGCGAAGTTTTGACTTTGTTTCCTCAGTTGTGGCCAGTGAGTGACTCAAGTTCCATAAAGAAAAGGGTATTTGTAGTTTGTTTTCTTCTGTGGCACAGAAGGATGACAATATGAATTAGACTTTTTTCCTGTCCTGCTTTTAGGATATCACAGCTTTACATTGCCCTTGCTCACGCCCAATCCAAAACATGTCGTTACCAGCTGGGGACGTGAATAATCTTCAGAGAGACAAGTTTAATTGAATTGTTGTTTCATTAATAGAGTAAGTCATATTACAAAAAACACAGTACAAAGACAAAAATTACCTAAAAGTAACTGATGCTGTAATAATGTCTGGAGCTCTCTCATGCAATGCTTTTACGCACAGCTAATGTACTCAGTTCAGCTTCCTTCCTTGCATATGATCCAGTTCCTGCTTTCAACATGTTTCCATCATGGATCTTAGTCCTTTTATTGGTGATTTGGTTTATGAAGTACAAGCACATAATTCTTCAGAACCCAAATGACTACCCTATACCAATGCGTACAAGATATGCAATAGTGAAAAAAAAATCACACTGCAGTACTGTGATAAAACATGACAGTACTGTTAATCATAAAACTATTTATTGAAACTTGCTTAAATCGTGAACATAATAGGTCTGAAATCAGTTCATCTAGATTTCCCATAATCAAGTAAAGATACATAGAGAAAATACTAAATACCTCATACAGAAGCATAATCATTGCATGTACAATTTCTATAAAAATGTCATTTTCTGTGTATTTGTAACAAGTAATTCTCTGAAGAGCAGACAGACTGAAGCCAGGCTGTCTAGAGATTTCTGCATCTCGGTTGATACTTCTTTTTTTAACTGAGTTTACACTATTTTGTTATCTCTACATACACCTTTATAGTTCTCTGCTATTTTCCCCTTCAGACTGCCTCTGCAGTGACCTTTGGCAGTGATACCAGGCTGTTCAGCTTTAAAAATCAGATAGCAGGATCAAAAACTGTGGTGGATGGATGTTAACTTTTTGAGCCTGATTCTCTCTGCTTCCTCACCATCCACCTTAGAAACTCGAAAAACAATCATCTGTGAAATCTCTTTGTGAAGTTTGATTCAATTTGCACACTGGGTTTAAAAATTGCTTAGGTGGGGAGGACGCACGCTTAGTGTGTCAGTGTCTCCACAGCTTTGCGTCAGCTTTGTTTCCTTTGGAAGTAAAGCTGAAAAAGCACTATCAGAGAAATTAGGAAACAGAGTCTAATGACCTGCTTTTTATGTCTGAGTGATTTCAAGTATGTGTACAGAAAAAGAGCAAGGTTACTCCTTGTTAATTGCTGTCAGAAATTACAGTGTGACCTTTATACTCTCCTCAGAACTGAATGAAGGAAAAGTAACGATGACTAAAGCTAAAACCAGGTTTTTAGAAATGCCTGGCTGTCATGGGATGCTATCTTATGACTTGGGCAGCAAAATGTAAAGAAAAAAATCTTACCAGATTACTCCAAGTATTGATGAGATGAAAAACTGGACTGATGAGCTAATTATTTAGATTATTATAGCATTATTTGCTTATTATAAAAAAGAAGTTAGGATGAAAAGATACTTGCTATTTCACAAATACAATCATTTGATTTGCAGAAAATCTAAAAGAATTATATGTACAATACATATGCTCGAGATGGAGCATAATGAAATCTGGGAAGTCAAGGAAACTAGAATGCACGATCAAAAAAAGAATAGTTGCCATGTAAGATGCATTATTCCTACAAAAACTGGCAAATCTTTATCAGTCTTTTGAAAAACTTCTGGTTTTGCTTTGATTTTCTTCAAGCTATTAGTTTAAATGCTTTTAAAATCAGACTTTGCATTATTTAATTTGCTTTCAGTGTTATTTAAAGAAAAAATAAACAAGTAGGATTCCAATTATTTCACCAGGGTGCTTGAAATACTACATTTAAGTATTATGACAGAACAGCTACTTCCTTTGGAATAGGATTACTGTTTGACTCGGAAAATTCTGGAGTAAGCTGGCGGAAGAATTTGTGACCCTGAGAATCTGTGTTTACATAGACATAACCTGGAGGAGATGGGTAATTTGCTGGGCAGGTCTCTTGCTTCTTTGGAGTATATTCTGTGCGATACATAGTTTCACCTTGAAAAGGAGCTGAATTAGGAACTATAGCATGTACAGGTTTGAAACTTTGAGCTGGAATGATCTGATGTGGTACGTAATGAGATTTGAATGTAGTTAAATCATAAAATCTTCCCGTGGGTTTTGGAATTTCGTGTTGTTTCTTAGTAATCTCTTGCCGACAGCTGCCCCAAGCTTTAAAGTCTTCCTTTGTAGTAGTGTTCCCTTGAAAAGGGGCATTGGTTCTTCTTCCATTAGAAACTGGTCTTATGGGGACAGCAGGAGAAATCTCATGCTTAACGTAATCAAGATGGCTCGTGGAGTTAAAATCCATGTTGCCTGGGGGAGGAACGTACTCTTTTGTTTTGCGGACCTCAGGCAAGGAGACCAACCATGGCTGAAAACGATCCTGGAATTCAGTGACGCCATGAAAATGAGCATTGGATCCGACTTTTGCATTTTCAGGCTTGCAGCTTTTTGCAAGTTGCCCAGGTAGCCCTTGAAAATCATTCCGGTGGGTTGTGAGATCTTCAAAGGGTTGGTTGCTTGGCTTGTACTCTTCTTTTGATCTTATGAATTTTGGTTCCAGCTGATGAGCAATATAAGAAGTGCGATGGCTAGTAGTACTATCGAACGGCACATCTGAAAGCTTGGCTACACAAGGAGGTTTAAAACTTTGCCTGGGATTCAGTTCCCTAGGAACAAAGTCATCTTGAAACGTAGTAGAATTTCCAAACTTCTCCGTAGGTGGGTGGTATATATGCTCCACCTTACTAGGTTCCCTTCTTTGAACTTCCCATGACCTGTAGTCATCTTTAAGGCAAAAACAAAACTTCACCATACAAGTGTTATTAGTTAAGACCATTCCTTTAAAATTAAGCCAAATTCTTCTGGTATTAAATCTTGCAAAACAAAGAAAATGGATGTAAGTGAGAATGATAATGTTATCTGCATGTCTGTGATATGACAAAACTGTCTTCTATTATTTGTGTGATAAAAACAGACCAAAAAAATTGTACGTGATGCCCTGTTTTGAATATTTCCTCAAGGAAAAAGAAAATGTTGCATGTACACATTTAGTGTGTGTTCTACACAGAGAATAGCCATATACAGGTTTTATAGAGAGTATCTTACATTTCACTTAGAAGTTTGTGCAAATATACAAGGCTGAAAGGAACCTCATAGGTCAATGGGTCATGTTCACTACTGATTGGGAGAATTCTCTCTCATAATTGCCATATCAACATTACATCGTCTTAAAGCTTGTTGGGATTTTTTTTTTCTTTGCTTCTGGGTTTTTTTTATGAACAGACTGTTCTGCTATAGTTACAAAACTTAATGTCCAGTCTAAACTTTTTCATGGGCAGTTGAAATCAATTTGTTGTCTTGCAATCACTGTACTTCAGCTTTAGTGTTTTTTCACTCCTTGATCCTTACTCCCTGTTGAACTGCTAACATACATTTTAAATGAAGCAGTTGCATGCTGTCTTAGTTTTATGCTGAGACTAGGCTAAATTATTTATTATTTGCTAGCTTACTACTTACACATAGGCTAAATAGAAATTTAAATTTCTTATAAATTATTTAGAATTAATAAATATAAATAGAATGTATTTATACAAATGCATTTCTATCTAGCATAGGCCTAAGCTTGAAGAAGCTAGTGAAATATACTTTGTTTTTTTTTGAAGAGCCTTTTTTCCCCAAATGATATCCTTCCAACTCTTTCTGTCACTGCACTCTCTCATCTGCTCATTTTGCACCAAGCATTCTAACTTCTTGCTTTAATAACCAATCTGATTCTCATTATCTCAAGTATCTTTTCAATACCACTGGCCCTCATAATCAGGAACATCTTCATTTTCATCCTGGCATTCTAGTAGATCATATCTCATCATTTATTTTTACTTACTTTTAACTGGGGCTGCGATGCAGTACATGTAACGAATTCAGTAATGCATTTTATGTGTAAAATTTTCTACTTGTATAAAGTATACCAAGGTCATTTGCCAGAATGACATAAAAGATTTAGTGCCTTTGTGCTGACCATTGCAATAGAACAATTTGTGTCAAAACAGATCATTACTAGGATGATATGCAAGCTATATGGTACACAAGAAAGAAAACTAAAATCAACTTTTGACCTACTCTGTGGAAAAACATGTGCTGTATGAGCTAAAACTATCTGAAAGATATATTGGCACTTTAATTGCAATCAACTTTTGCCTGAGATAGCCTAAGCAAGTGTATGTTAGAATTTCTCTCCTTCTAGCCAAGAAAACCTTAGAGAAGGCTTTTCGTTTATCACAGAATCATAGAATAGTTTGGGTTGGAAGGGACCTCTAAAGGTCACCTAGTCCAACCCCCCTGCCGTGGGCAGGGACATCTTCAACTAGATCAGGTTGCTCAGAGCCCCGTCCAACCTGACCTGGAATGTGTCCAGGGATGGGGCATCCACCACCTCTCTGGGCAACCTGTGCCAGTGCTTCACCACCCTCAGCGTAAAAAATTTCTTCCTTCTATCTAGTTTCAATCTACCCCCCTTTAGTTTCAAGCCATTCCCCCTTCTCCTGTCACAACAGGCCCTGCTAAAAAGTGTGCCACCATCTTCTGTATAAGCCCCCTTTAAGTACTGAAAGGCTGCAATAAGGTCTCCCCGGAGCCTTCTCTTCTCCAGGCTGAACCACCCCCCCCCTCTCAGCCTTTCTTCACAGGAGAGGTGTTCCATCCCCCTGATCATTTTTGTGGCCCTCTTCTGGACCCGCTCCAACAGGTCCGTGTCTTTCCTGTGCTGAGGGCTCCAGAGCTGGACGCAGGACTCCAGGTGGGGTCTCACCAGAGCAGAGCAGAGGGGCAGAATCCCCTCCCTCGACCTGCTGGCCACGCCGCTTTTGATGCAGCCCAGGATACGATTGGCCTTCTGGGCTGCGAGCGCACATTGCTGGCTCATGTCCAGCTGTTCATCCAGCAGCACCCCCAAGTCCTTCTCTGCAGGGCTGCTCTCAATCCCTTCATCCCCCAGCCTGTATTGATACTGGGGGTTGCCCTGACCCAGGTGTGGGACCTTGCACTTGGCCTTGTTGGACCTCATGAGGTTAACACGGGCCCACTTCTCCAGCTTGTCCAGGTCCCTCTGGATGGCATCCTGTCCCTCTGGTGTGTCAACCGCACCACTCAGCTTGGTGTCATCTGCAAACTTGCTGAGGGTGCACTTGATCCCACTGTCTATGTCATTGATGAAGACATTAAACAGTACCGGTCCCAATACGGACCCCTGTGGGACGCCACTCATCACCAACCTCCATCTGGACATTGAGCTGTTGACCACTACCCTCTGGATGCGACCATCTAACCAATTCCTCATCCACCGGACAGTCCACCCATCGAATCCCTACCTCTCCAGTTTAGAGAGAAGGCTGTTGTGAGGGACCGTGTCAAAGGCCTTACAGAGGTCCAGATAGGTGACATCTGTAGCCTTTCCCGTGTCCGCTGATGTAGTCACTCCATCACAGAAGGCCACCAGGTTGGTCAGGCAGGACTTGCCCTTGGTGAAGCCATGCTGGCTGTCTCGAAGCACCTCCCTGTCCTCCATGTGCCTTAGCATAGCTTCCAGGAGGATCTGTTCCATGATCTTCCCAGGCCCAGAGGTGAGACTGACTGGCCTGTAGTTCCCCGGGCCTTCCTTTTTTCCCTTTTTAAAAATGGGGGTTATGTTGCCCCTTTTCCAGTCAGTGGGAACTTCACTGGACTGCCACGACTTCTCAAATACGATGGACAGTGGCTTAGCAACTTCATCCACCAGTTCCTTCAGGACCCGCGGATGGATCTCATCGGGTCCCATGGACTCGTGCACCTTCAGGTGCCTTAGATGGTCTCAAACCTGATGTTCTCCCACAGTGGATGGCTCTTCATTCTCCCAGTCCCCGCCTTTGCCTTCTGCGGCGTGGGTGGTGAGGCTCGAGCACTTGCTGGTGAAGACCGAGGCAAAAAGTCATTGAGTACCTCCGCCTTCTCCATATCCCGGGTAACCAGGTCTCCCGTTTTGATCCGGAGAAGGCCAACATTTTCCCTCGTCTTCCTTTTATCCCTGACATACCTATAGAATCTTTTCTTGTTGCCCTTGATGTCCCTGGCCAGATTTAATTCCATCAGGGCTTTAGCTTTCCTAACCTGATCCCTGGCTGCTGGGACAATTTCTCTGTATTCCTCCCAGGCTACCTGTCCTTGCTTCCACCCTCTGTAGGCTTCCTTTTTGTGTTTGAGTTTGTCCAGGAGCTCCTTGTTCATCCATGCAGGCCTCCTGGCGTTTTTGCCTGAATTCCTCTTTGTTGGGATGCATCGCTCCTGAGCTTGAAAGAGGTGATCCTTGACTATTACCAGCTTTCTTGGGCCCCTCGTCCCTCCAGGGCTTTGTCCCATGGTTTAGAACCAACAAATGTCACCTCTAACCAACTGAGTGCTGAACATCTTAAGGCATTATCACCTGCTTTCTATTATGTCTTACTCTCTGGCTCAAACTAAGAAATCCAGTTTCTAATATAGGTAATTCAAAACACTACCTTCATCTTGGTTATTTCTAAAGGCAGCATATATTATTACCTTGATAGGTTGGTATGGTATCCAGTTTTCCTCCTGTAGTGTGTTTTCTCTCTAGAGGTCTTACTAATGTCACTGGTTGTATTTTATGAGCATTATAATCTTTCTGGTATGTGGTTCCCAGTTCTATCTCTCCCGTCTTTGGTTTATGTTCTTCTTGTACCCGAAAAGGTCGCTTCACAATATCATACGGTAAATAATCAGATCTGAATTAGGGAAAAAGGAAACACTGGTTAAAAAAACATCTTTCTTCTGATGGAGTCACTTTTGTCATTTTTTCATTATATGGAAAAACAATGACTTATAATGTTTACTCTGAAAAATCAATCTGATGCCATATGTTAGAGGGGATAGCAAGGAGGAAAGAAAACTGTAATACATAAATCTAGGGTCTCTGATGCGTGATATAGCCTTTATTCAAAGGTAGATGGTAAAGCAACTTTTTCAACACTGAGTCTCATTCCCAGTTTAAAAATATTCTTTAAGATGTCCGAAAGGAGACTTGAAAAAGTTGCTGTAATTTTACAAAGAAATGATCTGGAAAGAAGCAGCGGAGCAAAGATCATACTACTACAAGTGGCAGCATTTATTAATTGCACGAGGAGAATGGAATATAATCAGAAACAGCATTTCACTGTTTTTCTATGGGCGCGTTACATCAAAAGGGTGTATATTACATATTTAGATGTTTAAACAGTATACGCAGTACACAGTCAATCTTGCAGAAGGGCATTTGGCCTTTCTATGTGTGTCCCTTTTGGTTTTTAATAAATTCACCTGTTGCCCTTACAGCTTAAAAGAAAAACAATAATGCAGAAAGTAAAGGTTTATGCTCCTGTCACTTTATTAATACTGAATGAGTGATGTCTTTTTCTAACTCTTTGAAAGATGCCCTTTAATTTTGTAAGCTTAACATCAGAGTCTGTGCACTGACAGGACAGACCTACGGAACCCCTTTACGGTTGGCTTTCTTCAAACTCCTAATAATTTAGAACTGTCTGAATAAAAAAAATTCCTCTTCCTTTTTCTTAAGGTTTCATTTTCCCACTATCTCAGATTCCACACATGTATTGCAGAAAGTTCCCCAGCTTGCCAGCTTTTTCAGGCTCGATGAGACCTAGATTTCCAAAACAGGCTGAAAACAAGGACAAAAATTTTAGATTACAGGTTAAAGGATGCTGTAAAGAATGCAGATCTTTTTGTATGCATGCTTCACTATGTTTTATGACCTTTTTGTGATAACTGTATTTCTACATTCAAAATTTATACTTTTAAATATGTGAAAAGTGTAAAGGATGCAATGATTGAGTTTTAAAAATGATTGCAATACAATGTTCAGTCCCCCCTTAAATGAGAAAGTATGAGAAACTCCATAGAGTAATTGTAAAACACATTGCTTCAAAATGTTTACTTAAATGTTGTAATTCCTTCCATTTTCCCACGATGCACTTGGTACTCTTGTTTCGGCTTAAGGCTCCGGGGAGGAGAAATGTTGCTATACTTGGGATATTTTTCCACATACTCTGTTGTGAGGCACGGCTGTTGTCCATTATCATAAATCCTTGTGGGTTTATGAGGGCAGCGATGGCGCCTGGGTAAAACACATCAGATGAGATCATTTTGAATAGTTTCATTTAAGGGGAAAACCCATGCCCTATCTACTGGGAGCGAATAACAAATGGGGAAGATTGAACAATATCAGTAGCTTGTGTTTAAAATCTTTTCTGAGTGATTAAAAACACAAAATATTGTGCAGATGGCATAGGTCCGAGAGCACAGTATACTAATAGAGTAATAACCAGTATCAGTATGAGAGTTAGTCCTTAGTACAGAATACAAAGGATGAATAGTTAATCTCAGTTCTCTAAATGATGCTACCACCAAGATGCACTTTCCTCTCTTTTTTTAATCTTTAATGATATTACTGGTCTTATTTGTAAAAATAACCAACTACGCTTCATTTATCTTCTCACATTGCCTCTTTTTTATGGTTTTCCCTCATCGCTTGTCTTTTTACTTCTGCACATCTACTCACCTATTTTCACCACAACTCTTGATTAACCATTTTTGATTAAAATTTTAGTGGGGTGAAATCTCATCTGCACTTCTAGTGCTCTGCAGGCCATTTCTGACTTTTCAAACCTTTTTTTTCAAGGACTGACTAAATCCTCTATGCAGAAAATATGTTTATAAGTAATGACATCCCTTTTTCTTAATAGGTTTTATTTCAATTACACCTGCTTGTCATTGATGCCTATTTTAATGACACCATTGTGTTAAAAGGTGTTAAGAGGTATATCATGACTTAATTTATTACTCATACCTTGTTGTTTTGTGTAAATTATGCATGAAATTAAAATGTACATGTTATTTTCTAGATTGCTTTGAAAAGCTTGTTATATTCATTCTAATTTGCATAATGCACTTACATCTCTGGTAGTTTGTTTCAGTCATAGTTTTAAAATTTTATTTTGTCTGATGTGATTATTATTTAATCTCTCCTTTAAGGAGATATATAATGAAAGATGTTCCTCCTACTTGTGGCTGACAACTTGCAATACTGATTCAGATATAAGCAAAGGGAAATAACAAGAAATAAAGCATTTTTTTTTTTTAAATAAATGTCTTGTAAAATTCTGTACATGAAAACCAAAAATAACTAAAGAACAAGAAGGGTAAAAGTGTACAGCTCTTACTGGGTACAAATCAGGTTTCAGGAAGCCAGATACCCAAGGAATAGTTCAAAGGTCTGCAGAGAAATTTAGCTAGCACTGAATGCCACGAAGGAAAAAAAAAAAATTAAAGCAAGGTAAAAGGATACAGAAACAGACATGAAGGACTCCTGCTGGGAAAAGTAAAATGAAAAAAACACTAAAAGAAGTTATCTGGAACTGGCGATCCCTAAAGCTGGTATTAGTTTGGGCTGCCTGGCTTTGCCAGTTGAGTAGTTCAATAAATGAGAAATGAAGTAGCCCTGTCTAAGAAGCCAGATCCTTTCAAAGCCTCAGGTGCTTACTGCTTTTCAGTCAAGTCAACGGATAGTCAAGTAAATTGAGAGACCTATTCAGAACATAGCACGGAAAGGAAAAAGGAAGAAGAGGGAAAGAACAGGAAAGGTAGGAAAACAAGGAGGTGAGTGTGTGCTATTTCTCAGCACGGTGCATGCCTGCCACTACATTTTCCATGAAATACAGCTGCCACCTTAGTAATATTCTTTTCAGTAAGTATAAACAGCATATGCTGTGTCGTGTAGCATCTGAAAGTAACAGCTAAGCAGGAATTAAAACCATTGAATGTATGTTTTGAAAGCTAGTTGAGATATAGGGTAGCATATTATAATGTTCTTCACGTATTTTAGGCATACAATTCAATGGCGTTTGAAACAAACAATATTCATCTACAAAAACTTCATTTTGACAATCTTCAGTTTGCCGTAAGCGGGTCCAGAAGACCAATCACCAAAAAACCCACCTTCTCTGTCCTGGTATCACCAGTCTTTAAAGACTTAACTCTCATTATTTTGTAAGCAATATTGTCAGTATATCCCCTGTATTACTGAATGGTCATGCTACAAACAGAAATAGACACTACAAAAAGAATTACTTGCAGAGTGAGCCTATAGTAGTTCTTGGTAGATTCAACACAGAGGTGAAAGTAATTTAATGTATCACTCCAAGGAAAGAAGCTTTTGTAATTGCATTAGAATTCATTGCTGAATCAAATATGTCCTTGATCCCAGTCATTCCTAGCATATGAAATAATTCTGAACACACTCTAACTATGCACAAAATTACTTGGATTCAGACAAGACTGTTCAGGAAGATCCTACATCCTACTTTGTGCTGTGAAAGAACCTTCAGTGGGCCTAAAAGGCAACGTAAAATTACCTTAATATAAAAGTGAATTTGACTTGGAGAAGAGATTAGGGGATTTTTGGTTAGCCGATAAATCTACTTTTGGATGTTGTCCAACTGCTAAACCAAAAGTTTTCCTTTAGATAATAACTGTATAAAAGTGATTACATAGGACATCACAGCTCTTTAGAGAGACGATGCTAAGAATCATCAATCAGAGAAGACGGATTACAGCTCTGATAAATGAAATATGTTGCTTACAATTTGGCCAGAACTCCCTGAGTCACTGATGATTTTAAACTTGTTATTTGTAGTTATCTTAACTTCAGCCCCAGAGTTACTGATAATTCAAATGAATTTGGTGGGAATATGCTTTCCCCCATGACTGACTGATGCCTGCTTTGATGGATTATTATTCTTTCCCTTCTTTGAGGGAGACTATCTATCCTGTGGCTTGCATAAGGTCTGAACAGAATCTCAGCTAAATAAAATTGACAGTATATGGGCTCTCTACTGCCAAATGCTGTCACTCTGATTATTTTAACAGAATGATGCTGAATTTCACTTATTTAGGATCTGGCATACATACAGTTGTTTTTCATACAGTGCTAGCAAGACCACTGAAATTTTCCCACAAAGTATTTTCCTCCCAGAGAACTAGACTAATAATGAGAAAAGTTTAATGCTTGTCGTCATAAAGAACTTATTTTAAAAACAAAAACAAAGGAAAAACCCCCCACAAAGTTGCTGGGTTTTTTAACTGCCAGTGCACACACTATGGTCTGAAAGACAGAAGTTATGTATGGACACTGTGTTTTTGAGCGTCATCTGCTTTCCTGGTGTTGACAGGAGACCTAGAAGTTTTTATTGTGGGTGTGTGTATTTACATGTGGTCGGTATGAAGGCTTAAATATCTCATATTTTAGAGAAATCTTCCTCTTTCCTCTTAATGTACATTTATTCAGGAATCTAGATTTTTATGATAATGATAACAAAAGTGCAATAAATGGGGAAAGGCTGACAGACTGAGAAGAAGAAAAAGCAGTAGTTTATTTTCATATCTCAAAACTAAACGTCTATGCTTTCGTATGCTGTGATTATCTTTTATGGTAGACAAATACTATTCTTGAGTGCAGAGAGTTCATCTACCTCTGAGGCTTTATTCTTCCTTTGGAGGCCAGATTTAACATCCTGTATTTGCTGTTAAACACATTTCTATTGAGCCAGTGATCTGAAGCCTGACGGTACTTGCTAGCTAGCAGGGGGTAATTTTCTCTTGTAATAAGTTAACACATTTGGAACCTATGAGAAATAAGAAAATAAAAGTATTTCCTTCTCTTTATGGATCAATCCCAAATAAGACTAGCTCATAGTTTCTCCACATTAAAAATACACCACTTCTAAAATAAGAAATGGATCTGGAATATCTTAGGAAACAATACTGATCCAGCCATTACTCTGCACAATGCAGTTTTGAGAACGTTTTTGCTGTTTATTTAAAAAAAAAGACCCTCCAACCAAACTTACATCTCTGCCATAGCAGTTTGAAAATGATCATCATACCTCCTTGGTAGCATCTTATGCTACTGCAAAAGTCTTAAAGTCTTAAGCTGAAAAGGCTAGAAATTATGTCAGTTATTAAAAATGGAGGAGTCCCCAGCACTGGACCTATTTTGCAAATTGATCTTTGAGCATGCTCAGCACTGGGTACGTTTCCAGTGGTTTTTGGCTTTACAATTAGGAGTCCCCAGCACTGGACCTATTTTGCAAATTGATTTTTGAGCATGCTCAGCACTGGTACTTCCAGTGGTTTTTGGCTTTACAAATATTTGTTGATTTTGAAAAAGATCACCTAATAGGCACAGAAAGTGATTCAGTCTAATAAGAAGGAATCTATTCAAACTATTCTTAAAAATCTTGTAACAATTATTTGATTAAGAGCCCAAGACTGCCACCCCTAAGTATGAACACTACCACTCAGATGTGAGCCTTTAATGAGTGGATTGTGTATGTCACAATACAAAAAAGGTCATTCTGGAATTTTGGAGGCTCTTCTCACTTCCCTGTAAAGAGAAAGCAGAATAAAGTTCTGTCTTACTGACTTCACTGTATTTGTAAGATTTTTTGGAGTGTTTTTTCTTCTGTGAACAGCTAAGAAAGATTGTTTCCTTCTGTTTTATTATTTAGAATTATACAGTAATTATATCTCCACAAAATTTCCTGCAAATAGCTAAATGATAACTTCTACAAAATATTAGACGTCTTGCTTCGCTTTGAAATCTCTTCTAAGATGTGTATGCATTGCGATATCCAGGTAACACTGCCAAGCGACCAGTCTTCCCCTAAAAACAGAAACACTATAGCTACGCTGGAGCAAACACAATGTGCTGCCTAAACCAACAATGGCTTAAGATTCTATTAACTGTAAAAACTTCAGTAGTGTTTATTTTAAACCGTAAGTTTTGTGCGTGTTTTATTCAATTATTCATATTATTAAACTGGGTTTTTGAATTGAGAATTTTCAGTTGAGCTGAACGTCATTTTCTGCTGTCAGATTGTGTTATCTCACCATCTTTGTACTTGCGCCTGAGCCAAATGTGGTATCTCATCATGAAAACAATGTGTTCCAACTCTTCATTAATCTAGGATTTTTGAAACAAATTTATGGGGCAAACTACACCCACAGTCTTGGCCAAAAAGAACATGAGAAGCTTTACATACTGCCTGTGT